GAGGCGGTTCAAGCACCTACATTGAACACCTTCAAGAGAAATTTGGATGCTTATCTTGCTGGGATCCTATGACCCCAGCTGACTTCCTGCCCTTTGGGCAGGGGGCTGGACTTGATCTTCCGAGGTCCCTTCCAGCCCTAATGTCTATGAAAACTATGAAATCTATGACCCAGAGGGCACCACAGGTGCAGAGGGAAGCACTGGGTCCTTGCGCAGCTCAAGCAGGCAGGCAGGCTCCAGGGAGAAAAAAAAAATCAGGCTCGCCAGTTTTTTGTTTTTTTTTCCTTCAGTGGAACCTGCCTGGATAGACTGCTGCTAGGCTGCCTGCATGGGCTGCCTGCACAGCCCCTGAGATGCATGGAGCCCAGTGCTTCCTTCTTCAGCAAACTAAACCACCTCAGAGATATTTTATTTTGCTGTGTCCCAAAGTCATTTAATGCGCATTACACTGCCAACATGTGCAAACAGCTCACCATTAAAACGCATTATGCCACCGACATGTGCAAACAGCTACAACAGGGCATTAAGTCATTTTAAAGGCCAATTTTGTGGCATGTAAAAATGGCCCTTGATGTCAGCTGGGCTGTCTGGGTATAACGTAGGGCAGAGAGCAGTTCTGAGGTTTTACAAAAGAAGGCTTTTTGAATGAATGGGCCAATGATTTTCTTTGGGAATATTCTGTCATGTAATCAGGCATCTTTATTCTTTTTCTAAGTGGCTTTTGAAATGTTTATAAACAACCCAAGTCCCATTGGATATCTCACACTGGAGGAGAAAAAGTACCCAAGTAATGTATTCAATAGGACTTACACTCAGACCATTTAAGGAAAAAAATGTGTTTTCCCTGCAATATACTTAAATGTTTACTATAAATGCACCCTGAGCTAAAACCCTTCTGCTGTACATGAACTCTAGCATGGGCACATTTATTGTTCCTCACAGAAGATGGGAAGGGGCAGAGGAGCAAAGCCATGTAAACAAAGCAGCCCCTGGAGGCACACATTACATTCTCAATCCTACTAGAAACTTCTGTTATCAGTTGATCAATGTCTATCCATACGTGGGTCCTACTCCAGGCATTTGTACTCATGCATTTCAGGGTAGAATTTAGCCATTGGTCTTTCGGTCAGCTTGAATGGAAAGTAACTGTGTCCTTCCAGAGCCTGGGTCACACTGCTGATGCCTGCTCTCCCCTCTCTGACAGATGCGCAGAAGGAGTCTTTCCCCGTAACTTGAATCCTCTGACAGCAACCAGTTGCAGTTATAATTCATAAATACACCTGAGCACACAAATAACCTCCATCTACAATTGCAAGTGGGGACAAGAAGGGGCATGGCCCCATACCCATGCCACTGTTGCTGATGTGCACGTATCCACTGTGTGCACCAGGGGGAGTCTGTGAGGCAAACAGGACCCTCAGAGAGAGCTTAGATCTGCACTGTAAGAAGTTTAGGCCTGTCTGTACTGAATGTACATGGAATTTGTAACCTGTCACAAAGTGTTAACAATAAAATCCACCTGGATATGCAAAGAAAAATATTTGACACTACGGGCCGTACTTTCTATCCTGACTGAGGCCCTGTCGAGAAGGGAGGTGCAGGGAGCTGGATGCAGTGCCCTGATCTCTGCTGCCCCGGTCCTAGTGTGCATCAAAGCTGCAGCAGGCAGCTCGAATTGGTTATGCTGTCATACAGTCCTTCACTGACTTTGCATCTGTGACAGAAATCAAGTCCATCAGTCTGTTCCCAGTCCTTGATATGCCTGCTTATATCGGGGTTAACAGGCATGGCTGGAACAGATGTCCACATCTTTGCCAGAACACCCCATGGGCAGGGAGAAATTCTGTGGGCTATATACCTGGTCAATTTAAATCCACTTTGCTCTGCTGAGAGATGTTAAGTGGATTTAATAGACCAAAGAATCAGAATCCCATATCCTTATGAAATAGCAGAAGTGTTTGTATATATCCTGAACAAGGCATTTGTCATCATTCCCAGAATACACATCAAATAAGATTACACAATGGCTAGTGATGCTTTACTTCACTACCACCGATATATATTTGAATACAGAAATGAGTTTAGTGCAGGGGAGGGTGGGAGTTTTAGACAAGCTGTGAGCCACCATCAAAGGTTGCCTCTGTAAACAAAGCCCTTTCCTTTTCAGTGTGGGGATCAAGCTGTACAGCTTCAAAAGAACGTCAAACGCAGCCTGCAAACTGGGTGTAGAACGGATAAAAGAATCCTTCTTTAAAACAGAGAGTTAGCTTCAACTAATAAAAGAAATCTAAAAATGTCCATTGTCATAGCTTTATACTAACACTGTCTGCCTTGGCAAGCTTTAAATACTGGGCTGTGCCATAAAACCTAAATATGTCCTGGACTTGAAGTTGTTTACACAAAATATGAGCAGAGATAAAGTTACAGAGCTGGGGGTTGGAAGAGATGGCTTTAAAGCCATCCTCCGGGTACTGACGTCACATAGAAACCAGCTGCTGGGATGATGCTAAACGGAACTGTTTTTCAGTTTGTGAAAGTTGTGGAGTTAATCAAACAGAGTTGCAAATGCTGTCCCAGATAAAGTGTTTTCATCTCTCCGATGGTTTTCTTGTTTCTTTTAAAGATTGAGATTTGCAGAACTGGAACTCTTTATCCCAGCTAGCTATGCATTTCACCGCTTTCACTGCTACATTCGAAATGGACTGAAAAACTTCCAAAGGACTTCTTAATTCACAAAAGGTATAGTTTTTGTTGGGTTTTCTTTTGTTTGTTTGTTTTAGGCTCACAGTGTTTCTTGAAGACTTTTGGCAGAACTTGTAAAATAGAAAATAAGGGTAATGAATGTTACAAGAATGATAAACAGTTTGACCAGAGAGTTATTTAAACATTTGCCTAATGTTTATATTTGTATGTAGGTCAGTAATCACCCAAGTATGTAATAGTTTTTTACCCTCAAGGAAGAGCTGCTCATTGGTTCAGGCAGATTTCCAAACTGTACCTGATTTGTTAACAAGAGAGGTGACAACCTGTTTTTTGTAAACTTGATATTTTGTTTGTTTTTTAAACCATATATTGAAGCTTGATGTCTTCACAAGTTATAAGTGTGTACTATCTTCAATGCCTGTTCCTTCTTTAAAGAAAATAAAAATATATCAGTTCATTCATTATCCATCCAAAAGCTTGCATCTTATCCAGGGTTGTAGGGTGTAGCCGCATCTGCTCACATCTACCTCGCATTTTATCCATACTTGTGAATTAATCACTCGCTTGTAAATCAGAGGAAGATTTGTATGTCTGAATAGCTGGGCACATACACTCTAGTTAGTCTCCGTGGAAAAATAACACCTTCTCTTTTGATGTCACAGCAGCTTATTTTTAGCAGTTGCCATACGTCTGATAGAGATTTATTTCATACTATTTTTCATTTTTGATATATGCACAGAGGAGGGTAAAATGAGTAACATTAGAGACTAGGAATAGCCTCAATGTTTTTTTTTTCCTTGAGAGGGGGAGGGATCCAATGAAAGTAGAAGGGAAATATAGTTGATATAGACAAAATTGATTATGTGTTTAAAGTCAATTCCTGTAATGAGCCTCTGACCTTGTCTAGGACATGTGGAAAGTGCCAATACCGCAAGAGAACAAACAATGTGCACACATGGCAAACTAAAATTTGGGAGCCTTTTGAATATAGGAATTTACAGAGGAAAAAATATATAAAAAAAGAGGAGCACTGGCTTTCCATGTGTTTGTGCTGCTGCTCAAGCCTTGTGGAATGCCTGTAGCAACAGGCCAGTGGTTTATACAGGTTGTGGTTATATTAGCAGTACCAGAAATTGTGATTCTTGGTTCTCAGGGAGAAAAGAGTTAAAAGATAAGAATCAAAGGCCTTTGAGGAACTTAATCACCATAGCCCCAGCAACAGCAGTAACAGCAAAATTATATGGTGATCCAGTCATTCAAGAAAACTGTGAGTATTTGCACTTGATAGGGAAATTTTAACAGTACAAACTGCAATGTGAGGAAGGAAAGGAAGGCAGAATGAGAAAAACTGGCCCCCTCTACACGTTACATGTACCAAACAATTTACCAGCTAATTGTACAATTAATTTAGGCTGACTACAAGCGCGAATTAGCTATCACACCATATAAAGGTCCGTCCAGAGCTGGAACATGTGTAATACATTTCTAGCTGCTTTTTCTATCCAGCTTTAATTTGCATGTGTAGTAGGGTCTAAAGAAGCATTTTTGAGGGCAGCTGTAGAGCTACAAGTAAACAGTGGTAAGTAAACTTTTTCAGATCTTGCTTATATTCTGGTGGTCTCCAGTCTATTTTTATAAAGGACCACTTATATGAGGCAGATAGTAAATTTTGAAGATGGATGTGAACAAAGGAGTAATCAGGAATGTCCCTAAAAAAGCATTGTGGGACTTTTGATATGCTAAGCTGCTTTGTCAATGCATGCAGGAAAGGAGGGCATTCTATAAATATTAAACTGAAGTATATGGCTTTCACATTTTTCCAGTAATATTTATTCATTGATTCTGATTGAATTACAGTAATTATCACAAAGGTAGTTTTGCAATCAATAAGGTGAATGTATCCCTGTCTCTAGCTTATGCCTTTGCATGGTTCTTTGTTATAAACATTTGAAGGAGGAATTAAGTGAGGAACTAGAGAGATTATTTTACTTAATTTCTCTGATTTCACTTGGGTGGGGCTTAGAAGGTCTATAAAAAAAGAAAACAGCAAAAAAGGGCATTAGCAGTGTACCAAATGAAGAACTGCAACCTTTGCTCTAGTGAAATGTAAAAACACCGAAAGGGCTGGAACAACAAGATGTCTCAATTACAACAGCTCTTCTGGGCAGTGCAGTGTTGTTTTTGATCAACATTTATTGCAGTCCTGAATGCCAAACTGGAGTTTTGGCCCTGGAGAAAAGCAGGCTCTATACTCAAGTTGGCTTCCATATGAAGCTGTGAACTTGGCTGAAGCAGCAAACTCAAACTGGACTTTATGTTGAGAATGCTGCATTGTCCTTGAGCAGCTCTGTTAGTTGTACAGATCTTCATTTTTTTAAGCTGACTTAAATGTTTCTAGGCAGGTGAAATCCTCCACGTCCAGGATCTTGCTGGATGTGAAGCCTGTTTTGGAAGTGGTTCAGGTAGAGCTGAAAAGAGGAAAAGAGAAGAGGAAACGGGTTGCTCTTACAATTTTCCAGTGACACATCTGAGTGGGACTTTGAAACAGCTAAGCTCATACATTGCACTGGACAAGTGAAGAATTCCATTACATTACTGTGATCTTGAAAAACAGTGACAGGGAGGTTCAGTGTTCACTGAGATACTGCCTTCTAAAGCGCCAGCATCCCTTGCGGGACCTTCACTGGTGTCAGTGTAATGTGTTGTGGCAGGACTTCATCTGATTGAGAGATGCCGTTAACATATTGGACTTCAGCTCACTTGCTAATGAAAGAAGCTCATTAGCTTAGTATTTGGCATTAGCTTAGTATTTGGCTGAAATAAAACAGATGCTGATACTCAGTGATCACATAGTAGCCACAGCTGAGCCAACATGCTTTGCCCAATAAAAGGTGCTTTGGTCAAAGGTTTGCATGTGACTCAAAAGGGAATTGCAGAGGCTTATAGAGGTGAGTAATTACCATATCAAAGAAAACGTGTCCATAAAATGAATAATTGTTGTGACCTGAGAAGTAACATAGTCTCAGCCTCTCTTAATTGACTAATACAATTTGTAAGTATATTGTGAAGTGACACAGGTATTTCTGTTTACCTAGAGAACATAGCAGTCTGTTCTAAAAACCAAATCTTAAAAACCTACACGTCAGTCCATAGCAGACATTATGTCATGCAAGGATACTAAACTCCTGCTTCTAAGAATGAATTATAATGTCACTTACATGGGTATAGATCAGCAATACATTTGCTGATGTGAATGAAATACTGCTGTATAATTTGTGAAAGTAAGAGGAGTATCATGCCCATGAAAGCTTCAGGAAAAAAAGCTTTCCTGTACATGTAAACCATAATACAAGAGTGCTTCTTAATACATTTTCATCCAAAGTTTTTATAAGGTGTTGAGTGTCATAACTTACATTTGTTAAACATGGGGAAATTGAAATACAGAGAGAAATGATTTACTCAAAGTCTCATACTACATTTGTGTCAGAGGTGAGGATAAGACCTAGTTCCCTTGTCTCTGAGACCTGTGACTTGGAAATATATACTCTAATTTAATTACATTTGTAAAACCAAAATACATGATGACTTTATGTGTGAAAGTGGTTTTACCTAACAGAGAACACTCCATTCTAACATACACATAAATATGAAGATGTGTGAGTGAAATTTTGAGATTTTTATCTGTAAGTAATTATATACATAATTATGTGTATAATAGATAAACCCACAATCCTGTGTTATATAGATACACTCACAGACTATAAACTGTATACAAATATATATACTAGTAGGACTTATTTTACATGTGGCGGTATAAAGTCTGCATTATTCTGAGCAAACTTACTATCTTTAGATTTGTAGCTGAGCTGTCTTGTGACAACTATAGACACCATACTTGGCCACTCTGCCTAAAGGACAGATCTTGCAAGATTCTAGGGCATTGCTCTGCAATTCACTCCGAGATAAATTAAAGGTGCACAGCAGCTTGCAACAGGCTCTCACAACCTAGTAGTATCAAGTGCTAACATAGCACCACTGTTTTATTTCAGTAAGTTTGAATATTACCCATTTCTGTACATTTCCTTTGCTCTTATGCTGGATAGTTGAAGTGTGCAGAGTAACAGACTCAGTGTGATATCTGATATCACATTTAGGAGAGTTTGAGCTCTTTTTCCTCCTGTTGCCAAGCTCTTCCACGTATCTGTACTATAGTGTGTGTTTATAATTACAACCCTGGTGCTGTCTCCTGCAAACCAGTTTCAGCACAACTGGAATTCATTGCCTGTCTGTTCTATTTGCTTTATTTCTTTCCTTGAAGCTAGAATCAAAGGCATATAGGACTTCTTCTGATTAAGTTTGCTCCTAACTTCCAAGAAATATTCAGGAAAGAAAGAGGAGCAGAAACATCTTTTAGCTGATCCTCAGACTGCAGCAATGGACCTACGTAAACAACTGGAGAATACTGAGAGAAACTGGAATAAAGAGAAGATGGAACTGCTGGAGAGATTTGACAATGAAAGAAAGGAATGGGAATGCCAATGGAAGGTCATGCAGATGAAGATAGAAGAGGTACTTACACTTGTTGAGTGTTTACAGCCTGGTTAACATTTACATTATTGTGAAGTCTTTTGATTTTTCTCCTTGAATCACTAGCCTGTACATTGTTTGCTACTATGCATTTGTAGAGACTGAAGGTCAGCTACATGATCTGGGCTGACTCAGCATTTGAGAAATTGCTTATTTTATACCCAAAGGCACAGAGGAAGGACTTGAGTGTCACTTTGAAGCATTGGTCCCCCATCACATTTGCCATGATATTGCTGGCAGTATATAATCTTGCCAGACAATTTGGGCACAAAATGCAGTGGGCATTAAATGAGTGAATTTTTAGAAAAGTAAGGATACTGTCTTCAGACAGATCTGTGTGAGGCTTCATTGTATGCACATTTATTAACACAATTCCAGTATGGACATTGTCACACATAAATCTCCAGCAGTAAAGAACTGCATGCACCATGCCCACTGGGATAAACTGTATGCTACTTGATTCATTAACATCAACAGAAATGCCATGCATCAAGCAGTAATTGGCACAGGATGTGAGAGATTTATTCAGGCACGGACTTGCTATATTTACAAATGATGTTTAGTAAAAAATGTCTATAATAAACAACATGCCAAAACCTAAACACAAATAGTATTAATACCCAGTAGCAAATGCTCAGCCTTTGTCACGTCTACAGTGCTTCCTTCCTGAGACCTTTTTTTGTAATTATTTATTGTTCTTTTTAATCACAGCAATCCTCTCAACAAAATTCTCCACCCACTTGTTAATGCACAGGTTAAGCTACCTGGTGGCAATTTACCCAATGCATCTTCCACATTTTGTATTCTAATATGCACATGAAAATACTTTCTGCCAACACCATCCTGTAGCTGAGCTATGTAGGAATAAGAGAGTTCTCACATGACAGGGAAATAATGAATGGAAAAAGAAAATAAAGCCAAATAAATCATATCCATATCCATGATGTTTGTTTCTATGTATTTCCCCTTTAGCTTCTATTAGGTTTGAGAATGATATTCACCTCAACTTTCTGCTTGTATGTTGTGAAGTTGCTGGGCTTTGTTTAAGCAATTACCTCATTTCACCAGAGTGAGTGATATTCACTCAAAGATATTCCCAGCAGCAGGGATATGGAACTTGGAAGCATGGACAAGACAAAACCAGAAGTGGGCACTCTTCAGTCAGCAGCCCCTACTGATCACCTCCTACTAATATAACAACTGTACTCCACTTAATAACCATCAAGTAACTGCTCAGTTGTCTTGCGTCTTCTTTTCCAGTCACCTCCTAATACTCCCAGCTTTTTACTCTTTCCTTCCTGTAACCTTTTTGCACTTTGTTCTTCCTATATCCTTGTCACTCTGGCTTGCCAGCAAAATAACTCTTTC